ACCAAAGATTCCTTGGCAACCTCAAGGTACTGCCTAAAAGCTTTTACAGCTGCCCAAATTACAGAGTCACATTGCCCAGAGCTTACCAGTCTCGTAGAACAAAGGAGGGTTCTGGTGTAGTGTGGAGATACAGTAATGAGCTTGTGCAAAGGAATATTCTAGAAAGCAGGTCAAGTTCTATGTCTCAAGGGCATCTGTAATGGTTTCTCAAAAGAGGTGAAATTTAGTGATGTGTTCTGAAATTGTGGACCTTTATCTATTTTTCAGAAGGAGAGACTAGCCTTGGGCCTCAAGCTCCAGTGAGCCCCAACTTTCCTTACTGATGTATCTTTTCATCAGGTCCTGGCAACAGCCTAAGAAAGGTCTGTCTCTGTTTTGGTATCATTAAACATCCATTAATCAACCAATCACCAGGTAATTGATCATTTAATCACATCAAGTTAACAGAAAACATGTTTACAAGGATATATTGACATTCCCACAAATCTATGGCAGTCATCTAGTCCAATGACTTTTTAAGGAAACTGAGACACAGAGGAGGAAAGCAATGCATTTGAATGTGCAGCCCAGGTCCCCTCCAGGAGGGCATGAGCAAAAGTGTCAAAGTAGATTGGAAACATATACTGCCTGAAGACAGTTTTAGCAAAATTTTAATTATATTTATTCATGTATTATTTTGCATGTGAGTGTTTGCCTGCATATATGTATTACACCACTTGTATACCTGTCACCCTCAGATGTCAGAAAGGGGTGTCAGATACCCTAGAACTGGAATTGCAGAAGGTTGTGAGCCACCAAGTGGGGCTGCAAGTTTAATCCAAGTTCTTTGGGCTTTCACCTTCTACTAATCTTAGAGCATATGTTGATCAGAACCTCTAGTTTCACTTGCTTCATCTTATATCATGCTAGTGATTTAAGCAATGAATAATAAATAATGGAATAAACAGAATGGAATAAAGAACGCCAAAAAGACTACAAGATCATCATTCTCAGAGGACACAATAAAGGGCCATAACAGGTACCAGATAAACACATGCAAAGATAGTCAGGAAACCCTGTAAGGAAAAACTGGGAGGAAATTTTTAAAAAGTGTATATCTTTTGATTTTGTTGTGAAATATTTTAAATACACAGTTGACTATATATAATATATTAAAAAGAGACAAAGCAAAATAGTGAGGGAACTCAGCTTAAGATATAGAATCTGCTTAGGAGGCAGAGGCAGGTGGAAGTCTGAGTTTGAGGGCAGCTTTGTTTATGGAGGGAATTCCAGAATAGCCAGAGCTATACAGGAAAACCCTGTCTTGAAGCCCCTCCCCACAAAAAAAAAGAAGAAAAGGAGAAGGAGGAAGGAGTGGAGGAAGAAGAAGAAAGAGAAGAAGAAGAAGAAAAAGAAGAGGAGGAGGAAGAAGAAGAAGAAGAAGAAGAAGAAGAAGAAGAAGAAGAAGAAGAAGAAGAAGAAGAAGAAGAAGAAGAGAAATGCAGAACTTTTAGAAAGAAAATAATCTAAATAAAATTAGTTTGTTTTTGTTGTGGTGATGAACACCACGACAAAAAGCAACTTGGGGAAGAAAGGGTTTATTTATTCATCTTATGCTTCCAGATAGCAGTTAATCACAGAGGGAAGTGAAGCCAAAACTGAAGCAGAGATCACAGAGGAATGCAATGCTACTTACTGGCTTGTTCCTTCTGGTTTGCTCAGGTGCCTTTGTTACATAGTCCATGGCCATTTGCCTGGGGATGGAACCCTCCTACATCAATTAACAGTTGAGAAAATGCCCCATGAGCATGCCCACAGGCCAGTCTGGTGGAGGCAATCCTCAATTGAGATTCCTTCTTCCTAGGTGTGAATGTCTAGCTCTGTGTTAAGTTGACAATCCTCCGACAAATATAAACACTGAGTGCCTTTGAAGGCTAAAAGTTATTGTAAGACAGCATTTCTCTGTGAAACATTGTATAGGATCCCTATGATCATAATAAAAAAAAATTAGTTACCTTTTTTGAAATATTAAAAATAATTCAACATTTTATTTTAAAAACAAAAAGAAGCATTTACAATAAAACTATTAAGAACTTAATATCTATAATGCTTATGAGTATTCAAAAAAGTATGGATCTTTGGAATAGAAAGAAAAGCTCAGAAATAAACTCAGTTATATTATATATAGAGTATAATATTTCACATGATACCAAGAAAACATCAGCAGTCGTTTGGTAAATGTTGCTGGGATACCTAGAGAGGAAAGGTGGACAAGCCCATTCATGCAGTGCTCTGCCTGCTTCTCTCGCTGTGAGCATAGGGTTTTAATGTCATGTGTCTCTTCCATGGCTCACATTTGTGACTAGGTGAGGCAGGCTCAGGGACTATATTCACAGTGTGGACTGGCAGGTGTGTTCTGTAGTGCGAGCTCTAGGGACACTTAGGAGAGGACTTTATCTCAGACTGGGGTAGTGGGGAGGAGAAAGGACTTCTCAGAGAAGGAGAACCCTGGGCTGGCACCAGGCTCCTTCTGTCTGTTCATTCACAGCAAAGTTCTTTCTACTCTCTAAATTTTTGATGTTAAGAGTTTCTTTGTACTTGATTATGTAATTTTTATTTATTTTTATGTATTTGAGTGTTGTGGGATATTTGTACACTGTGCAAAGATGCATTGTTGCGGTTGCTGTCATAAAAAGCTAAATGGCCAATATCTAGGCGGCAGGTATGGGCAGATTTCCAGGGAGAGAAAACAAGAGGGGGAGGAATCAAGGCATGCTGGAGAGGCCAGGAGACATGGAGAAAAAACAGGAGGTGCAAGATGGAAAACAGGTAACATCACATGATATAATGTAGATTAATATAATGGGTTAATCTACATTATAAGAGCTAGTTAGGAATAAGCCTAAGCTATAAGCCAAATTTCATTACTTATAAAAAGTCTCTGTGTCATTATTTGGAAGCTGGCTGGCAGGACAGAAAAAGACTCATAATGGAGTGTCATGTATGTATGTATGTATGTATGTATGTATGTATGTATGTATGTATGTGCACCACTTGCATTACTAGTGCCTGCAGAAACCAGAAGAGGGCATTAGATCCCCTGTAGAATTAGAGATGGCTGTGAGCCACATGTGGGTACTGGGAATCAAAAAGTGTTCTCTACAGGAGCAGCAAGTGCTCTTAACTGCTGAGCCATCTCTCCAACCCCACAGCAAAGATCTTCAAATAGCTGTACTCTTGCTCTCCCTCAGGCACCAGAGACACAAGGAAGACAGCAAACACATCGTGATAAAAGGGTGCCACTGTGCAGGATTTGACTGCTGGGTAGACTGATACTTGTGGGGACACAAAGAGCAGAAGGAGTAGAATCAGAGGCTGGGACACACTCAACAGTAGATTTGGAGAGCATACCATGACTATGGGAGATCTACGTTTTAGGTGATGAACCAATACAATGTAGAGAAATTCACATGTGAAGGCTAATCTGGGATACAACCTGACTGGATTGAGAAATACCTGGGAGATCAGCAAAACACAGCTCTGGATGCATCTGTGGGTTCCCAGCTAAGAAGGGAAAGACTTCTCTTGAGTTTGGGCCACACCAACCTACAGGCTGGGGGCTGGGATGGAATAAACAAGGGAAGAGGAAGACACCAGGGCAAGCATTGATGCTCTAGCATGGAGTCAGCCCTTCTGCTCAGCCCTCTGAAATCTCTGAAACCAGGAGATAAAATAAATTTTATTTTGGTAAGTGATGTTACAGTGGTGAAAAATGAACACATCAGTTTTTAAGAGGAATATGTAAGTCTTTTTATATAAGTAGAAGATATAAGGCATGTTACAAAGCAATCTGAAACATATGGAATGAGAGTGGACAGTGTCTGAGAGAACCTTGTCATAACCAGGAGTACCATGTGGTCCAACTATGTCCTTCCTGGGTATATGTCTGAAGGTCTCTAAGTTAATGAGATGCAGAGATACCTGCATACTCATGCTTATTGCTACATTATTCATGATGGTCGGACATGGGGTTAGCCTAGATATTCACCAAGAGATGAACTGATAAGGGAAATGTACAATGTACCAATTACTGGGGCTGTGTCACACTATATTCCTTTATGCTGCTGACCAACTTACAATTATTTTCTTTGGACAGATTCTAAGGATGGACTCAAACCTGCAGTGTGCTCAGGTCAGGTAACACAGGTTTTATTGCTTTCCACTTAGAGATTCTTTTTAAAAATTATTAAGAGAGGGCTTCATTTAGCCCAGGCTGGCCTCAAACTTACTACATAGCTGAGCATAGATATGAATTACTGATCCTTCATCCTCCATCTCCTGAGTGATGGGATTACAGGTGTACACCATGACGGCCAGGGTTTCATACATCTGAGGCAAGCACTCTATCAACTGAACTACATCCTCAGACCCAGAATATTACATTCTTAATGGTAAAGGATAAATACAGTAAAAAAAAAGTCTTCCAACCAAAATCTAAATAAAGTCAACTAGAGAATATTATGAAAGTATTGACAAGTGAGCAGGCAAGATGGTTCAGTAGTAAAGGCATCTTTCCAGATGGTGGAAAAAGAAAGGCGGCTCCTAAAAGTTGCTCTCTGACCTTCATGTGTATGCTGTTGTATTCGCAGGCGGCTCCTAAAAGTTGCTCTCTGACCTTCATGTGTATGCTGTTGTATTTGCGCGCACGCGCGCACATCGCGCGCGCGCGCGCGCGCGCGCGCACACACACACACACACACACGCGCACGCGTGCACATACACACACACACACACAAACACACACATCTACACATAGGCATACACACAGAGATACACATACATGCACACACAGTTATACAGACATAGTGATACACACACATGCACACATACACAGATACACACACAGACATACACATAGACACACACAGAGATACACACACATAGATACACACACAGATACACACATGCACACACGCACAGAGAAACACACACAATATATAATTTTAAAACTTTTGCAAGTATTGAATAGTTTTGTTGCTAGTCTTCCTAGGATGTTGACAATAGGCAACCTCAGGCAAAGGGTGCATAGCAATCCTTTACATCTTTGAGCTTTGCTATGAATTTAAAATAATTCCAGAATTAAAATTTAAAATAATAAAAGTTTAAAATTTTAAGTTAAAAGTCAGCCATCAAACAGGACATGCATTTAGGAAGTGTATTCATGTATATAATGCAATACAAATTACAAATGCAATTACAAATTACAGATTTTTGACAAAATTAGTTTCCAGCTCTACGAGTGCTGATCACTGAATGCCCTGCTGGAAAATTCCTCTTTTTCTTCTTTTTCCAGGGTCCTCATGGGCAAATAGAGACAAAATTCATCACCACAGTGCTTGGCATGCAGTAAAGTTCAATGAAGGTAACTTTTCCTTTCATTCTTGCAATCAAGGAAACACAGATGGTGGCAATGGCATGCCACTTCACACCTACTAAATCAGCAACAACCACTTCTACTAAGTCAGCAACAACCATAATCCTAATTGCCTGAGAGCCCATGAACAGGAGTACAAGACCGGCTCCAGTGTCTAGAAAAAAATATCAAGGAGTTATAAATGCAACAGGAGAGTATAGAAACATCAGACCCTTTAACCTGGACCTCTCTTTAACACCTGGAAGTCCAGGCACAGGTTTAAGTGGAGTGTTGTTACATTATGATGTCTAAATAGTTGAATGTTATGTTGAGGTGACAACCTGTTCAATAATAATATTCTCTACCCTCCTGTCTTGACCAGTGTATCCCCAAAACCACTTAGAAGGTTGAGTTCATATTTAACATTCCTATGTTGGTGCTACTGGCTCCAAGAAATTCTCTTCAGAGACCCCAGGTCTGCCTTGCCCTGGGAGAAAACCACAGCTACATGCCCAAACACTGAAGGTCAAGCAACAGTTGTTCCATTCCTCAGTTCCAGCTCTGCCTACTACTAGTGCAATTGGATCTCAGGAAAGAAGACCCTGAGAGCAGGGCTGTGCAAGCTTTGAAACTATCATTCAGTCACTGGGGGGCTGAGGTATCTGGAAAGTAGTCTGAAGAGGGGTTGTGAGTATGGAGTGTGAATGTTCCTCTGATCTGGAGGCTCCTCTTCAGAAGGGTGGTACCCAAACTGAGGATGACTGTGTGAGTGTCTCTTGGCTAACCTGATCACACGGCTGCTCCAAGTCCCTCTTTAGAATCTGTCCAAAGGAAATAAATGGAAGACAGTCAACAGAATAAAGGAGCTATAGACACAGCTCTGGTGATTGGCTCATTCCATATCTTTCTTATCCATTTATCTCTTGATGAACATTGGGGCTAATCCCATGTCCCACCCATTGTGAAATAATGTAGCAATAAGTATGGGTATGTGGGTATATCTATGTCATGCTGACTTTGAGTCCTTCAGATACATACCCAGGAGGGACATCGTTGGGTCACATGATACTCCTAGTTTTGGTCTTTTGAGGAACCTCCACACAGATTTCCATGGTGACTAGACTAATTTATACATCTGCTAGCAAAATGGAGCATTGTTTAGCCAGAAAGATGAATCAAATCTTGTCATTTTCATGAAAAATAGATGGAACTGGAGATCATCAGGTTAAACAAAAGAAGCCAGACTCAGAAAGACACACACTGTGCAAATGTTTTTTTCCCATAGGAAAATCAAGAGTAAAGAAAAGAAGGAGAAAAGAAAGGAAATTAGAAGGGGGCCTGAGAAGAGAAGGGGCCAACAAGTGAGAGAAGGGACAAGAGAAAACAATATTAGGGTGGTGATTATGATCAAAACACTTCATAAACATACAAATGTAATAATTAAACCTATTTGAAAATTTTAAATTACATCTAATTATTTATTTAATGGGATTCACTGTTAGTATTCAGGCATCTGTACTGGCCTGTCCTTGGGGTTCTCACAAGATCCCCCCTCAGCTGCAGCCACTAAGAGCACCTCCTGTGCACATTCACTATGTTCCCTTTTAAAAGGGTCCTGCCCCCTCCCATTTCTCTCTCTCTCTCTCTCTCTCTCTCTCTGCTTCTCTGCCTGTCTCTCTGTCTCTCCTTCTCTCTACCTCTCCCCTCTCTTTCTGCATCTCTCTTCTCTTTCACTGCTTCCATCCCCAGAGGCCAGTTTTTCCCCTCCTCTCCTTCCTTTTTCCATCCTCTTTTTCCTAATAAAACCCTTCCATGTGAGCTGTATTGCATTGTGTCTTTCTCTCTTTCAGCATTTTTTTTAAATTACAACACAAACTACCATGGCATAAATATGAGGCAGTCAGAGGACAACTTCCTGTAGTTACTTCTCTCCTTCAGGCCATCAGACTTGATGGCATACATCTTTACCTGATGAACCATCTCTAAGGCCCAAACCATTTTCTTGTATAATTACTAATGAAGATTAGAAAAAATAAATCCTACACATTAGAAAAAGATGACTGTACTTTAGAATGGAATGAAAATTATATGCAGAATAAATTATTTAGAAGCATCACAAACATTAGGCTATGTGTTTCACAGTGACAACTCTTCATAGCTGTATATTCTAGTAAGACTATAAAAAGCAGAGGTAGTAAATGAATGACATTTAACAGATCTTAAGAATAAAGGAAGCTATTCATTTATTTAGTTATTTAATAGTGGCTACCTATCTTTGGACTAGGCACCTAAGATGGTTATCACAGCATTCTATTGGGCACTGGTAAGACCAACCTAGCATTGGACAAAATGGTCAAACCACTCAGAGGAAAGCAGTATAGGCAGGCATTCAGCCTGGTAACTACAACAGGCACAAAGCAGCATGGGGGCACTTGACTTTAAATAAACATTGACAGCTGTGTGAACCACTCCAGGTGAGACTTGGATGGCAGACTACTGATGGGAGCATGCCTGCAGCAAGGGGGTGAGGCTAGCCAAAATTTCCTTCCAAACCATCTTATTCTTGGGACTGGGAGGAAAGGCAGAGACTGGAGAAGCCACCAGTAGGAGGTTAGACTAAAGGTGTTGCATTTGCTTTGGTTGCTCTGGATATCTCTGTTGCATTTATTGAGCATCCCTGATACACTGGGCATGGTATGTGTGCCCTAAATACAGTGTTCTAATGAGCCCTCATGAAGCCTGTCACTCCACTGAGGAGCAGAGAAATAAACCTAGGAACACTCACCATTAACCCAAGACTGTTTCCTGTGGTGATATCTTGCTTGTATAAGTAAGCCTGTCTGAAGATCAGAGGATAGAGCTTGCCACTAACTAACTAACCATAGAGGTCTGGAGGTCTGTACAGAGAGACAGGAAGTGAGATGGCAGAGCAGAAGCAGGAAGTGAAGTGGCTGGGAGAGAGAGGATATAAGCAGGAAGAAACAGGAGCTTGAACTCTTTTCCACTGAGACACTAATGAGGTAAAGGTTTGCTTTAGCTTGCTCCTTCTTCTCTCTGATCTCTCAACATTTTCCTCTAGACTCCAGGTTTTTATTATTTAGGCCAATTAAGAACTCCATTTACAGCTTCTAGTGTTCACACCCTCAGGAGACCCCAATTAAAACAATATTTCCATCTATGTGAGAGAGTGATAGTACCAATAAATTAATAATAGTATGGTCTGGGCTCTAGATGGACTTTGTGGTTCTAATAATGGAGATATGGCACACTAATGCTTAATTTCCAATTAACAAGAAAGGAAGGAAATTTGATAGAGGCGCTGGGTGTGGCAAAGCCACTTACAACATGGAACAGGAGGGTGGCAGACCACAGCCTGTGAGTCAACTCCAGCCCACTGCTCATTTTCATAGAGTCCACAGTCTAAGATGCTTGACGGTTTTTAAATGGCCAGGGAAATGTGAAAACGAGCTGAGATTCCAACTGTCACCCTATGATTCAGCTCACTTGGCCCACACTATTGTCACTCAAGTGTGAATTGTCTCCAGCCACTTGTACAGCATAAGAGCAAAGGCAGGTGGCTGCAACAGATGCCACATGGTGGGCAAAGTAGAAAATACACATGCTCTAGTTTTTTAACGAAAGAGTCTATTGATCCTTAACACAGGAGAAGACCACATGTCTGGCTATTTACTGTTAATGGAACCCAACACTCATTTTGTGAACATCTTCTCCGCCTTAGTGCCTGTTGCTAGCCTCGCTTATATAGATACTTTGAAGCCTACAAAACACACATTATTGATTTCCTAAGAAAACTGGGTTATTAGCTGAAGCCTTAAGCTCAAATTCTTTTTTAAAAATTTTATTTCGTCTTTCACAGCTTCATGTGTTCTGATCACAGTACCCCCATTATTCTGTCTTACCCCCTCCCCTCCCACTGAACCCTTTCTGCTTACAAATAAGGCCCCCTCCTTTATCTTGTCCATTTTTTGTGCCCCGCTGAGGGTGAGTTGCATGAGCTCAAATTCTTTTTTTTTTTTTAATTAAAAAAGTGGGATGGGGTACTGGAGAGATGGCTCAGTGGTCATGAACACTTTCTGGTTTTTCAGAGGATGGGTGGAGTTCGGCTCCCTGCACCCACACGTTGGTTCCATTTCCAGGGAGTCTGATGCCCAGATGTGCAAATGGTACATAAACATACATGCAGGCAAAAAAAAAAAAGAATACACATAAAAGTAAGTAAGTCTTTAAAGAATTCCAGAGGTGGGACAGGATCTCGCTATGTAGCCACAGGCTGTCCTGGAACTTACTATGTAACTCCTGCCGATCCTCCTGTCTCATTCTCCCGAGTACTCGGATTACAGGTATGAGTTGTCACACTGCTCAATTCAAATTCTTAATTCTATTTCCTAATGGGTAAGCAGGTAAGAGCCTTCAGAAATATGGGCTGTAACCAAGGCAGGGAGAATAGTTTTGGGGGATTCAGGAAAAGTATGGTATTCTGTCTCCAACCTCCCCATTACCTAATTGACAATTCAAAACAGCACCAAGCCCCCAGCAAAAGTGAAGTGTAAGCAAGCTCAACACACTTCTGATCGCCTCCATGAGGAAAGCACAGTGCTTTCCCTAAATAGCACTGTGCTAGTGGCTAAGGACTTTGGGTGTCCCTGCGTTAGCCACTGACTCTGTTTCCTGTGTGGTTAACTCGAAATGCTGTCTAGAGTCTGTTGACCTTGCCAAGTGTGACATGCAGGCTGGCCGGGCAGCCCACACTGTCATTCACCAGGATTGACAAGAAGGTTCAGGGCCCTCTTCTGTTTACCAGGAACAAGATGTCCTTTCCGACCCACAAAAGATCAGCGTATTTACCTGAAAAGCCAAATCCTTCTAGACTTACCAGCCTCTGCGTTAGTCATGATCAGAGGTGTTGCTTAGAGTAAGGGGAAAGAGAAGCCCACATCCCTGATTTTGTTCTAGGTGACAGGCCACCTCGTACCCTGGAGAGCAGCAGAACTGCTGTCCCTTCTCAATTCCAGTTTTCTTTTTAACCATACCATTTTGAGCAATTCATGGGATGGCCCTCAGATCGACTCTGTTTTCACATCTATGAAGCTGTCAAGAATCATGAATGACATCATGCCTGCTTGAACCTTGGGGTGCTTTGAAAATGTGGCCTCCTCCCCATCCCTTCCAGTTACCCCTCCTCCTTGGACGTTGTTCAATATACACTACTTTTCTCTCCATTGCTGTCATTTAAGTGTCCAGATGAACTTCAAGTGCCTAATAGGAGTGCAAGAGACAGAGGCAGCTGGCTTGGTCCAGAAGCCACATCCTGTGTCAGGGAAACAACTCAGAGCCCAGTTAGCTCCTTGCTCTCCTTGTCTGCAGAGCTAGAGAGGTAGAAGGGGCTAAGCTAGGACGCTGAGCTGAAATGGCACCCGACATCAGGCAATATCAGACTCACCTGGCACCCATCCCCAGGGAACTCCAGAGGGATGAAACCACGAAAGACGAGGTTAAACAAAGGTGAAAGGCTTGTCCCCTCTCCACAGAGACTCCCTGGGAGTTCCCGTCTTCCTCACGTCTGCCTCTCCTGACTTCAAGCTGGGCTGGCTTCACTCTGGTTGCTGCTCTGGTCCTCCTCCATTCTTGGCGGCTTACCCTTTCTTGTTCACTGTTTCATTCTTCCGGGGTCATCCAGGCTCTTGCTTTTCATGCCACTCCCAGATTTCTCACTCCAGCTGTGACATTTTTCCTATATGACACACACATCCACAGAGGAACTGGAGAGCAAATGTAGGGAGAAAGGGAAAGAGAGAAGTTAAAGTAAGGTTTCTGTTAAGGAGAGAGCTGCTGTGTGGAGGGGCTGGGGCCTGTCCTGGTGTCCCAGCATGGCCAGGGTCTGTAAGATCAGATTCCTCATGTAACAGCTGTACCCTTGGTGTAGCTAAGCTGCCTGCTCTCAGCCACTGCCTGTGCTGGGCCCTTTGTGCTGGAGATTTTGGAAGGGCTGTGAATGATAGGAGATAATTGATCACAGCCTTCATGCCTGATAGTCCTGCTTTCTGGGAAGCTGACTGGGTGACCATAGCCCTGGGGACCACTTATATGCCATTATAGTCTACATTTGTCGGACTCGGAGAATTCATTTGTCCAATGGTAAAAGCTGTATCTTCAAATTCAGATGTCTGTGAGCTTCCAAGTTTCATCTATTTGATTCCACAGGTCCTTCAGACAATATCCATTTTTCTTCCAAACTGTTATCCCTTCCAGGAACAATCCTAAGACACATGCCCATCTAAATAGCTGTGAGTGCCAGCACTGACCCTACAGAGCCCATGCAAGAGGCTCATGAACATAATTTCATCATCCCAAATACTTTGAGAAATCAGGAAGTAAATGAGTTGTAGGATTGGATGACAGTGGTGTCCAGGGCCAAATCAGGATCATTCTTATTAAAGTGGCCTTCTAATGCCAGCATGTCCTTAGCTGATGGGTCCATAGGTAACCTCATCTTTCAGTAAGAGACACAATCAAACTGTTCTGGCAACACTTTCCTCACAGCCCGGTTAGCCCTTTGTTTAATCAGACAGTAAGCCACATCTGAAATGGTCTATGCAAGTTTAGACTGCGGAAACACCAGTCCAAGGAAGCTATCCATAATGGGCTAGGAGCTAGTTCATATCTTGAGGTACCAATCAAACTCCTGTCTCCCATGTATGACATTAGCCTAGAACTTGGCTGTAGACCTCAGCATGAGTGACCTTGGCTGGTTAGTTTTTGTCAACACAACACAAACTGGGACATACTGAGGAATGCCTCCATCAGAATGGCACTCTGCAGCCAAGGCATACTGAGTGATACAGCTTGGATGGAAAGGTATTCTGGCATTTGGGAGACAAGGAATACCACAGGTCAGTTTACTGCCCTGCTTCAGGGAAGGCTTCCCAGTGTGTCAGCTCTGCTCCCCACGAAGTTGTTTACAACTTGGCTCAGGTCCCCCGGAGTGTAGTGTAACAACTCTGCTTTGCAAGGGGAAGGTTTCCCGAGCAAAAGTGTCACAGCTTGCAACTGGCTGAGCTCTTGCTCCAGAGAATAGTAGTTACTTCTCTCCTCTGCTCTATCCTGGCAAAGGAAGGTCTCATCCAAACCTCATTCAAGAGATTTTTTGGGAGGGAGGAATCCAGGAGAGTGACTGCCTCTGCCAGAGTAGAAGGCAGCCGGACAGCCACAAGCTGAACAGACACAGGTTTTATAGAGGGGTCCTTAAGGTGCAGAAATTTCCAGGGTGGTGATTTGTCAGATTTCAATCCCTGAGTTTAAAATGGCTAGATCTCCTGCTCAGGGATTGGTTAATTTTCTGCACAGGTTTAGGGTCAGATTTGGCTCTGGTTTCAGGGCCATAGTGTGTTTCTTTCACTGGTCCTTTTTAGCCTTTTGGCTCTAATTTTAAGGCCAGGGTGTATTTCTTTCACTGGCTCTGATTCCAGGGACAAAGTGTGTTTCTTTGGCTCTGTTCAAGTTGTGTTTCTTTGGCTAGCCCTTTTTCCCTACAAAGGGGAACTGTGTTTGGTATGTAAAATTAATGAAAGGAAGGAAGGAAGGGAAGAAGGAAGGAAGGAAGGCAGGCAAGCTGGCTAGAAATAAGCCAAACTAAGGTCGGGCATTCATAAGCAAAAATAAGTCTCCATGTATTTATTTGGGAGCCGGGTGGCAGACCCCAAAGAGGAAAAAAATAAAACACAGTAAGATGAGAAGAGAAAAGAGGAAAGGAGGTTGTGAACTGTGCTGGGCATTGCCTTTTGTCACTGCTGTAAGTTATGGTATAGAATTCTAAGGAATCTAGATTTTGATTTTTCCATTTAATTAAAAAACAAGTGTCTATCTAGGAATGGGACATTTTGTTTGTAAAACTTGGTTTCACTAGTTAAGCTTAAATACTTTGATGTGTAACATCCAGCCTCCACTGGAGGTTTTTATTTTTTGTTTTGGGGGTTTTGTTTTGTTTTGTTTTGTTTTGAAGCAGGGTCTTACTTTGTTTACATACTCACTGTGGAGCTTAGGCTGGCCTTATAGTTGCAGCAGTCCTTCTGTCTCTGCCTCCAGAGTGCTGTGATTACAGGCTGGACTTACACTCTAGTGTTCCCTTAAGTAATTGCCCAAAGCAGATCTCAGCCTTCAGATCTAAATCTCCACCTGTCCTGAAATCTGGGCTAGCTGATCACTGTGGCCTTGGGGCGCTCTTTCATTCTCCATATGGTGACAGGGGAAGCTGAAATGATAAAGAGTCTAACTTCTGAACTGGACAGATGGCTCTGCAGACAAGAGTGTGCTGTTCTAACAGAGGACATGAGTTCAGGCCTCAGCACCTACATCAGATGGCTCACACACACCTGTAACTCCATCTCCAAAGCAGCCAACACCTAAGATCTTTGTGGACACCTGCACACCCAGGCAATACCCACACACAGCCACATATGCATATACATAATTAAAAGAAATGGAAAAATGTATAATTTCTTCCTACAGAGATTTTCAGTAGGGATTCTTTTGGGTATGAGGGCGAAAACCAACTCATACTGCCATAGGGGGAAAATTGAAAAACAGAAATAAAACTTTTGAACACAGTAAAGGCACTGTTGCTAGCTAGACATCTGACAGAGGATTAATATTCCAAATATACGAAGTGTAAGAGATTGCTACAGGCTCAGGACCCCCAAGACAAAGGAGACTTATTTACCCCAGTGGGACAGAGGGCAGGGATAAGGGACAAAGACAGGAGACAGAGGACAAATGAGAAGCAGGGAGGAAAGGGAGCATGGATATTTGTCCCGGAAAGACAAAGGACTGACTGCCTTTGATAGAGAGGAGACAGTTATGGCCCAGAGGCAAATGGTAGTTTATAAAGGTAAAGTGGGTATCCCTGTGTTTGAATGAAGTGTTGAATTTTAATTGGGCATGTTAATTACATGAGACAAAGGGTATTTCAATTGCTGGACTTCAATACTTTGATAGCTAGACCTTCATAATCAGCCTCAGGAGGTGGGATTGGCCAAATAAAGAAATAGACCTTGGGGGGCTAGCTTTAGGAATGTATTCTAATGTTTTTTTAGCAAGGCAGAAGGAATGGGGGAGAAGGGCAAGGCCTGCCAGAGCCACATGTGAGTGGACTTGTTTCCCTTCACAAAGAATACTCAAAGAGATAAAAAGCAAATCAAAGCAACCCAATCAAATAATTGGTTAATTAATTGAACAGAAAGTTCTCAAAGAATGAAGTACAGATGGCAAACACACACACATGTATGCACACACATACACACACTCATATAAGTATGCACACACACACACACACACACATACATTCAATGTCACTAGCCATCAAGGAAATGTAAATTGAAACTACATTGAGGTTTCATCTCAAAGAAAAGTATAACCCTGGTAAAGATGTAGAGAAAAGGGAACCCTCATACATTGCTGGTGGGGATGCAAACTGGTCCAGCCATTATGGAAGTTAGGATGGTAGTTTCTAGAAAAAGAAAAAAAAACTAAACTAAACTAAATGAAACTAGATCTACCACATGGCTCAGCTATACCACTCCCTGATATTTACCTGAAGGACTTCAAGTCAACACATCCCATCACGTCAGTGTTTACTACAGCACTATTCACAGTAGCTAAGCTGTGGAACCAACCTAGATGTCCACCAACAGAAGAATGGCTAGTGTGCTAACTGTACACAATGGAAGTTCTTCAGCCACAAGGAGTGGCACAGCCATATCATTTGCAGAAAAATGGGTACAACTGAGGACAATCACAATCCATGACTTAATCCAGTTTCTTAAACACAAATAGGTTTCCTCTCATTTGTGACTCCAGATTTATAAACAAAAATTGGTGTGTGTTAGGGTGGGCGTGCATTATTTCACATCATACATGTGGAAGTCAGAGAACAATTTATAAGTGTTGAGCATCTTCTTTTGCTCTGTGGGTTCAGAGACTCAACACAGGTTGTCGGGCTTGGTGGCAAGCATCTTTGCCTGCTGAGCCAACTCAATGGCCCTTCTTTCTTGTTGTATGTAGATACATACATTCACAAATACAAACACACACATATGTATATATGCATGCTTATATGACATGAAAGTAGGTGAGAAACATAGGTAACAAAGAAGACTAAATGTGAGGGAGTTAGAAGGGAAAGGGTTGGAAGTGGGGGAGGAATACACTCAATGTGTAATGTACCCCAATATGAATATGTCCTCATATAGCATGGTTCCATGTATGATGTGTTAAAGTGAAAAGGTAAAAGAATAAAAAGATTATTTCAGCACTTACGACAGGTATGGTCATGCTTCAAGCCACATGGTCCACTCTGTGTTTCTATTTCTTGGCTCTGTCTTTTTTTCACCTGGATTTGGCTTCATTTTAGGGGCCCACTCAAGATGGTCATGAGCAGCCCCAGGCATGACTTTGGGAACTCCAGTGGAAAGAAGGCATTCCTTTTTGGCTAGATCCAGAAAAAGTCCTGCCTAAGACTGACATTGGCTCTGTTTGGTCACTGAGTCAAATTCTGACAAACCACGTTGATTCTTAACAGGTAGGTTGGGGAGTGGAAGTTTTCCAGCTTGTCTGGGCCATGTGGATATTATGGGATGTTTCCAAAAGAAAAAGAGGGATTCGAAACTAAAAGAAGGAGCAATGGACACTGGATAGGCAAAAACAGCGAATATTTCTCCAGCAATATTTAGCTCAGTGAGTGTGAGGACAAAGGCTAGAGAATATGTGAATATTGTGGAGTATGAACTGTCCCCCATAGGCTCATGTATTTGATCACATAGTCTCCAGCAAGGGGCGCTGTTTGAGTAGGTTGTGAAAGCTTTAAGAGATAGAGCTTTGATGGATGAGGAAGGTCACAGGAGGCAGGCCTCAAGGTGTCACAGACCAACCCCACCGCCTGTCCACTCTCTGCATTCTCATTATTGCCGACACAATGTGCCCAACCACCTCACACGTCTGCCACCCCGCCTTAAACCATGAGCCCAAGTAAACTCTTCATCCCTTCAGTGCCTTCTTGGTCATAGTAACAAGAAAAGTAACTAACACAGACACTCTGAAAGTAATCAGGAGTAAAAAGGTGCAGTGGAGAGACCCATCAGTCCTCAACCACACTGAGCAGAAATGGAGGCCAGTCTACCCATCCCTTGGCTATAGCTAATGGAACCCAAGCTGAACCAGATTGTTATAACACTAAACGCAGTCATTACAACTCTGGAGTTGTCGGTATCTCTGGCAGGTATTTGGAACACTAAACGCAGTCATTACAACTCTGGAGTTGTCGGTATCTCTGGCAGATATTTGGACTGGTGAACTGCACAGAGATGTGCAAAGAAAAGTAATTTGTGAAGGAATGGAGCAGAAACATAAAAGACACTGGGCACCAGACAGTCCCAGAAAGGCAAAGACTGAGCTGCCACCCTTCTTTTCAGCCAGTGCCCCCAGCTCTGTAGGAGGCTCGCAGGTATTTCTTGTACTTGAGAGTGACTCCTGGGATTCCTTAGAATGTTTCCTGTGTGTGTGTGTGTGAGAGAGAGAGAGAGGAGAGAGAGAGAGAGAGAGAGAGAGAGAGAGAGAGAGAGAGAGAGAGAGAGAGAGAGAGAGAGAGAGAGAGAGAGAGAGAGAGAGAACAAGGCCCTGTTGTGATTGAGATGGGACTCTGAGTATGCAGGGCTTGTTTTTATGTCACCATCCCAAATCTGCTTTTGGAAAAAGGTAGACTGAGCAGTTTTAGTTCCAATGTGGAGAATTTTGGACACGGGCTATGCTTCTGGCAGCTGTGTGTCTCCTGGTGTATAAACTATATATAAAATGTCAATGTGGCCCCAGTGGTTGGAACTGGAGTATGATCATCAAGGATTTGGGGGAAGGTAACCTTCCTGGGAGGAGAGAAGATATATAATAGACACCTGTGCCTCTCCCTTTGGCTATCTGACTATGGAAGCAGTGGTCCAAAAAGAATTAAAACTTCACCAGGAATCCCATGCTATGGGAAGTGAAGAGGTTTCACAGGAGAGATTTCTGAGAACTTATCTGACCACCTTGCAGGAGAGACTAGAGCCAGACAGTGATGGTTCATGGACGGGACCATGCTTTGACCAGTACTACTTGGCTATGTTACCTCTAGCTCTCTGTTTAAATCTAAATCTCACATCAGGACCCTGAATACTAGAACTAGAGTTACTAGAACCTGTTATTTGTTTCTCTTTCCAATGTGGTCACATTGAATACATCGCCTTTCTCTGCTTTTCACCATGTCTTATCTCTTTCAAAAATTATATTTATTGCACATGTGCATATAGCATAGGCATGACGCATGCATGGAAGTCAGGGGACAACTTAGGGGTCCTGGGGATGGGATTCAGGTCGAGTTTGGTGGCAAGTGCCTTTACCTGTTGAGCCATCTTGATGGCCCTCCTGGAGTCTTTACTAAGTGCATTGGTGACACCATGCTAAGGAGAATGTTTTGAGAACATCAGAACCTAAACTTAGTTCCTTAAACTTCCAGTAACAGAAATGTCACTCATATTTCTCTTAAAATCCATTTGCAAAGTGATGCAAGACCCCTTACTTAACGCTAGTATACAGAAATACTTTAAAAATCAGAAAAAAAGACACCCTCCCCACCTAAAAGAGAAGAGCAATCTTCCATGTGGGAGTGAACTGAGGGAGCCACATTTCTTCTCTGTCTGTGAATTCTTCCCTAATGGCCACCACAGTCCAATCGAAGCCCAGTCATGGAGTTCTGCTTCGGCTCCCTGAACCAATCTGTTACTGGAAGCAAAGGAGCCAACGCTTGCTTGCATCTGAAAGTAAGGCATTTCCAAAGCACCAGGGGGCCAGTCCATTCAAAGAACAATGGGGTGAGTAGAGCACTAATGAGGGGATTCCAGCTCTGGGGCTTTTGTCAGAACTGTTTCCCTCTGGGGCCCTTTCTGCTGGATGTCAAGCAAGCACACAGCAGGTGATGGAAAGGCCCTTCTCCATGACTCATCAGTCTCACCTGGGGAACCGGAGCCCATGCACTGGACCCAGTCCTGACATGACTGATGAGCAAATCTGTGGGCCTGAGAGCTAAGAAGGCCCCAAAGTGATGCTGTGGTGAGCTTTGTGGCCTCCCTTCCTCCCTCCCTCCCTCCCTTCTTCCTTCTTTCCCACCCTCCCTTCCTCCCTGTACACACCAGACTAGCTGACCTCCACATTTCTGGGGGTTCTCCCACCTGCATCCCGTCTAATTTTAAGAGCGCTGAGATTACAGATATGCACTAACATGCCTGACATTACATGCATTCTGTGGATTCAAACCCATGTCCTCATGGTTGTGCAGCAAGTACTTTACCCACTGAGCCACCTCCCCAGCCCCAAAGTTTTTTAACCATCAGCAAACAATGGGCCACATGGTGGGGACCAGTAGGGTTGCACATCACAATTTCTGTCTCCTGGAAAGAAAAGACAGCAAGGACCAGGCCTGAGGCAAGGTGCAGGGACCATTTGCAGGGTGCTGGTTGTTCCTCAATCATAGGATGCAAAGTCCAGGGGGAAGACAGCAGGGAGTTAAACGACTTAATGTTCTGCTAGCCAGCCCTTCAATTAACTTGACATGTGAGATAATGAGGCCATTATGAAGTGAGCCTTTCTTAATTGAGACTGGAAAAATTTGTTTTATATTTTCAAAATCATCTGTAATGAGCATTATTAATTTTACAATCAGAAAAAAAATCTTCCAAAGATTTGGCTATTTTGAGCCATCAAAAGAGTTGTGTGAGTAGTAGGTCTGCCCACAGGAGGTTAGCCAACTCTCTCTCACCTACCTGGTAGCTTGGAGTGTGACAGTACACACCTGACAAAAGGTAGGTGGCTTTGCCTGTACTGTTGTGTTCCTGGTATTTCTCCTGCTGCATCTGCTACTGACCTATACTTCAGCTCAGAGCCTAAGATACAAGCAGCTCATTTGCAGTCTCTCAGTCGTTCCTGCTTCCACATACAATTTCATGTGGTTTTCTTTGCCTAGAATATGAGATATCCTCCTCTTTCCTTTCCTTCAGCTTCTGGACTCTGCCCAGTGAGCCTATGTCACCTTTCAAGTCTCCCTTCAAATACTTCCTCTGAAGGCATCTCAGGCTCCATTTGAGAGACTCACTCCTGGGGTCCTCCGGCTAGGCGCTCTGCACTGCCGGCAGATGACCATGAAGAACAATATTATGCCTGTGTGTGCCTCTTCTGCCATGATAGTCACACCATGGTTGCCAGTCCTGCTTTAATGACATTCTCACTTGATGTTCAAAGTAGCTTCTCCATTGCAGGTAGTCCTTGATTTATAATGCTTTCACTTCTTGACTTTGATTTTGTGATGGGATGAAAGTGACATGCACTCATTAGAAGCCCTCCTTTCAGTGTAGAATCTTGGTCTTTCTTCAGCTCTTTCGATGCTGGGTAGCAGCAAGCTTCAGCCTCCAGGAGATTTATAAGGGGGAAGCAGCTAGCATTCCAGAATGTTCTGTGTGGCTAAGTTACCTGGTTTTGGAGGTTAGTATGTAACAGGTCAAATGTCTCTAATCAAAAATCTGAATCTAAATGCTCTGAACTTGGAAACTTTCTTGAGTGTTAAATGACACTCCAAGTGAAAAATCCCAACTTGACAGGTTGCTGTCAAAATGCAGGGGCACCTAAAATAGTGCATAAAATTATCTTTAGGCTGTGTGTGTAAGGTGTATATGAAACACAAGCAAATTTTATGTTTAAGATGTGTGAATCCTATCCCCAGGATATTTCATTTTATATATGCAAATGTTTCCAAATCTAGAGAAATCTGAAGCAGTTCTTCCACCAGCCATTTCACAAAAGGAATACTCAACCTGCACATGCCTTTTGAATATTTTCAGTGTAGGGGAATTGGGGTAATGTAACCCCATCATAAGTCAAGGAGCATCTGCAGGTGAAGGAATAGACTTAGGAATAGTGACATGGCCAAGTCTCCCAGCTGTGTGTGTGTGTGTGTGTGTGTGTGTGTGTGTGTGTGTGTTGGGACCAGGGGATGGCAGGGGTTCAGCTATGTGGTACAGTCCAGGTTGGACTTACTGCCAAATCTGGGTTCTCAGTTACCACATTGCCAAGTTTGGATCAGAGACTTTCTTTTTGCGCTGTGTCTTTTGTGCCCAGCCTAGTGAGATGCTTCATGGATAACTGTTGAAGGTAGATTAACCTAGGCAGGACTTTGCACTCCAGTAAAGCATTCCTGAGGCTTGCTTACTTGGTGGGCTCCCTTACTTAAATACATGGGACTCCATCAGCCAGCTGTATGACAGATACTGGTGTCTCAGGTCATTTTTGACTACAGGAATAGAATAATAAAAGGGCATGTGCATGTCTTAATTTAGTCATAAAGCTAGGATTTTTAAATCTATATGATTTTTTACAATATAGTAGTTGAAATTTATTTCTTTTTTGAGACAGAATCTTAGTACTCAGCCCAAGCTGGTCTTGAATTCTCTGTGTTCCTGCCTCAGCCTCCCAAGTGTTGATATTACAGGTGTGAGCTACCAGTAGGCCTAGTTCAATGTACTTAAGATTGTCATATGTATTCTTTTAATTTGAAAGAAAATTCACAAAGCTCTGACCTTATGGACAGTATTGGAACCAGACAGTAGATTTTTGTAGAATTCCATCAGGGCTGTGTTTACTAAAGTTGATCCCTGGAACACCATTTTGTAAGAGAATACATTTTTAGAAAACAGGTACTGAAGAATTCCAAGTTCAAGGGTCATGGTGTATGTACCTGGTTCTCAGGTGTTACAGGAAGTAAGAGTATGTGTGAGGGGAAGGGAGGGAAAGAAGAAAGAAAGAAAGAAAGAAAGAAAGAAAGGGAAAAGGAAAGATTGGTGACAAAGCCAGTGGGAGAAAGGCCTGATACTCACAACTCCAACAACGTACGAATCTGAATAGATGAGTGTTCTTTGTGTTATTTTTAGTTTTACAAATTTGCTGCAAATTTAAATTATGTCCCAGGAAAAAAGCTAAAAAACAAACAAAAACTAAAAGTTAAGAGTGAATAAAGTCATCGTTCCAAGAAGAGGTGTTAACGGGTGATTTGCTTTGCAGCACCTGGTGAACACGAGCCTGGACCCTATAGAACCCTAAGGCTTCACGAGTCTGAGCCTGCAGTTGGACCAGCATGGCCACTGTTCTGGACCTATTCCCGTGGCTTGAATGTGCACACAGTTCAGCTGGCCCAGTTCTACCAGAGGCAAAGGGGTTCCTTGCAGATGTGATGCCAGGAGGACAGTCATGCCTGTGCTTCCAGGAACCCCCATTCTATTCTATGCCAGAGACACACAGATGGTGGCTGGATTCCAGCCACAGATGCAGCTCCCTCAAGAACAGTGAAGCCTACAACAGGAGTGTGCCCCCTCTGGGTCTCAGGCCTGAGGGGACAGTAGCATCTGTGTGACCGAAGACTCACCCTCTGTGAGTGGAACAGTTAAGGCTGTCTGTGGCCTAGCATCTGCTGGTCCCATTCACTATGGCAAGGCTGTGGACATTCAGTCTTAGACCTTCTCACCCCAGTGCCTGAACTCAACAGGAAAACGTCAGCTGCAAAGTCCTGGACTCTGCCTGCCATCACCATCACTCTACAGACATCTTCAGCACATCTCTGTGAGATTACTTCCTTTATACTAGGGTTTTGTGTAGCTATTTCCTCCTGGTGGCAACACTCCTTCCTGGAGATGCTAAGCTCACAATGAAGTTACAAGACTCATGAGGCCCCAGACCCCATGAGGCTCCCTCCTTGAGGTTATATAAGCTTAAACAATTACTGTAGAGTTACTAGCATGTTATTCAGGGAGTTTCAGGGATGCACCTTTCATGAGATTGTCACCCATGCTGGAGGGGAGGAGGGATTTTCAGCAGTACAGCAGCCTGAGTCACCTATGTTCCTGTAAGTGACCCAAATAAACTCATTGGTTCACTAAGTTAAACTGGGGTGAAATAGTTTTTTTAGCCCATTGTCGGCACCCTATCTGACGTCCATGGACATCTGCTCACATCTCCAGCAGGACAATACTGAGGATTTATATGTAATGTATTATTTTGCTCTCGGGCTAACTCCATTGAGTATGGTACAATGAATATTCCCACATTTTCCTAAACTGGAAACTGAGACACCAAGGTTAAAGAGCTCCTGAAGAAGCACAGAGAAAGGGAAGTGGAGATTTCCCATTTGTCAGGCAAAGTGGGAAGGTCTGCAGTGAATCCATATCAGGTTAGAGAAAAGGGGTGTCGACAGAGATTCAAGCTCCTGGTGAGAGATGAAGGCAATGTGGGGGGTGGGGGGACACACATCAGGGCAAGTATCGTTTGCATGAGTCCTAACCCACTAAAAACTGTGAAGTGAAAATAGTTTAAAACAAGGACAATCAAGGTGGAGTCCCACATGTGAGCAGTGTGATGGCACTCGGGATGGAGTCCCAGGGGTGAGCAGTGTAATGTGCTGGCGCAAAAATAAAATGCAAGTTGAGTCTTCATAACTGGTGGTGGCAGAGTCTTTCTGGGAGCTTCTTGCCTTGCGACATGTTGGGAGAATGAAATAATTTAAAACAAGCACTTTCAGAGTGAGCAAGGATTACCTTGCTGATTCTACAAATGAGTAAATGGAAGCATTCCTGGAAGGTTCTGTGCAGCTTGTATAACGGACTCCATAAGCTTCATAAGCTTCATGAAAGCTAGGAAATGGAAAGGAAGAAAAGAAGGTGGGGGAGACAGAAGCGGGGAGAGGAGGAGAGGGGGATAAAGGCTGGGGGTCAGTTCTGGAGCACTTCAGGGGAGTTTCGGTTCTATCCCACTCCTCAACCTTGACCAAGATGATGACGACGTAGTACTTATGTCTTGCCAGGGGACACTTGAGAGGTTTATTATTTTTTTAAAGTACATGTGTTTTTTTTGTTTGTTTGTTTTTGTTTTTTTGTTTGTTTGTTGGTTTCAAGACAGGGTTTCTCTGTGTAGCTTTGGAGCCTATCCTGGCACTCGCTCTGGAGACCAGGCTGGCCTCATACTCACAGAGATCCACCTGCCTCTGCCTCCCGAGTGCTGGGATTAAAGGCATGTGCCACCAACACCCGGCAAGATAAACATATTTTATAGATGCTTTGGAGATAGCCTTCCTGGTCACTTCCTTTGTCCTTTCTCAGCTCTAATTCTGATGCATGATGTTTTCCCAAATCCTGCAAATAAAGATAAAACCTTGTACTCTGTGTGCAGTATATAGGTAGATAGAGTAAAGGCACCTCAGGTAGCTAAGCAGGCAGGGTGGAGGTGAGAGGGCGGGTAGGGCTGAGGCATAGACACCACCTTCATGAGTGGGGCCAGCCCTTCTCACCACCCATGGCACACAGCCTCAGGTCAGCAACTGACCTGCAACAGGACACCCTTGTTAGGAAGGGCATTAAACCCAGGGTGGGCTGGTTCCTCCGAGCTGAGAACTTGTGCAAGGAAGGTGCTAGAAAGCATGTATGAGTGTGTGAGTGTGTGTATATCAGTGTGTGTGTGTGACTGTATTAGTGTATGGTATGGATGTGTGTGTATGTATCAGTGTGTGTGTGTGTACTAGACTGAACTTTAAAATTAAGAGTTTCTTCTGCTGGAACGTTTAGTGCCAGAAGAGACACTCTCCAGGGAATGTTTACCTAATTGTAGAGATGTAATCGTTCTTTTCTCGGGGCACATTTCCTGGGAATTTAATCCCTACTAGAAACAATGAAAGCTATTAGTGAAAACACACGGCCAATTGGCAATCAAAAACCCAGGTTGCCAATGTTAACAGCACTGTGTATTTTCTTTCTAAGCTTCTGCCCCTCAATACAAAGCTATTTTAACATGAAATGCTGTCTGTTTTCTCTATGTCGATCCACATGAATTTAATATTAGTAGCTGTATAACATTGCATTCAGCTGGACTGCAAGGAGCTGGAACCAACACAGCCCTTCCTGTTTTTTTGTTTGTTTGTTTTCAGACTCAGGCACCCCACAAAATTTTTGTCTTTTTCTAAAATGAGGACTCATTCACTCACTAGCAATGGTCTGGTGTCATGCAATCTGGAAACAAAAGCACCACCACACCTGTCTGTCCTTTCTCTCCTACTTTGTGGTACAGGGCTGTCAGGAAGGACAAGGAGCAGCTGTCCTCTGTCCTGGAGCACACTCTCCCCTTTCTCCATCCCCACAGAACCTGGCATCATCGTCTTCAGGACAAGTAGTTTTGTAACACTGCAGGAATTTGGGTCGGGAAGTTTTTAGTTAGCCTTTACTGCAGTAATAAAGTAGTAGCATTGATTTAATCATAGCGGCTCCGGTGTTTGTGGGAAGCGCTTGCCAGTTCTGGCTAGCTGTCAGAAATGCATCCATAGGGAGGAGTGTGTGAAAATATGTAAGGCCCTTGGCTTCAAGAGAAAGGCAGATTTACACCCCTCCCCTTCACAGCAGGAAGCCTGAAATCAAAGGCAACTAACAGATCAACACATGCTTATCTGTCCCTTTATTACGGGTTGTAATCGTGCATTTATTTGTGTGTCATCAAGGCTGCTCACTGGTCCCTAAATTCCTCCCAGCTTTCTGTCTTGATTGCTCTGAACTCTGATGCCCAGAGTGCCTTGCACAAAAAGCATCTTCTAAATATCTGTGTATGAAAGAAAAAGAGAGGGGGGAGGAAGGGAAGGGAGGATAAAAAGAAAGGGAGGGAGGAAGGAGAGATGCATCTTCTAAATATCTGTGTATGAAAGAAAAAGAGAGGGGGGAGGAAGGTGTGGGGGAAGGGAGGATAAAAAGAAAGGGAGGGAGGAAGGAGAGATGGAAGAGAGTGCAAGGGAGGGCTGAAGGAAGGAAAGAAGGGAGGGAGGGAGAGGTAGGAGGGAGAGGAGGGAGGAGTCATTGGGAGACTTTACATGTGGAAAGACCCTCTACAGCTGTGATGTCCAAAGCCTCCCAAGTCAACTTGCACTTTTTCATATGGAGAGAATATGAGCGCATATCTCAGGAGTCTAGCTATTTGGACGGTTAGGTTGTGTTGGGTAGGAGAGGCCCCTGTCCTCAACAGTCTCTGCTTTTAGAGAGTCTTGCTCTCCATGAAGCTCCAGCAGCCCACGGAGCTCTCTTTAGAGACCTCTACACAGGTGAAGAAGGGATGCCTAACTTCATCACAGGAGAGAATTTGAGGTTGAGTGAGTTTGCACCAGGGCTGGAGTTTTTTAAGAAGAAAGTTTATCATAGACTTTAGCACAGGGGTGAACAGAGAGGATAAGGCACACTCAAGTGTGGGTGTAGGCATCTCAGGAGAGAACATGCTTAACTGTTTCAGCAGGAGCTATACCTATGATTTTGGTGCCTCTTGGAGTACAGCCCAAAGGGTGGCTAAGCCTCCAACCCTTTCTTTATAAATGAGATTACAAGACAGTCCTGGAGGTGCTTTGTATAAGATTGTAATAGAATAAGATAAAACCTCAGGTCATAATGGTTATGCAAGGGTGCTAAGACCTGCCTTTTAACTTTGATGGGGTTTCCTTTGAGATTTCTGGAAAAATCACACATTCACACTTAGGAAAGGAGAAAAGGCCTTAAGTGTGTTTCATTGCTGCTTTAACATTTTTATTTAAAGCATCTACCTATAAAAGCAACGTTGTGTCATTGTAGGCAATACTTCACAGGAGACATTAACTGTGTTGGCATTCTCTACCCTCGGCTGGTGAGAGATTTCATCTGGACTCCAGAGTGAGTGACTGCTTTCCTTCCTATGTCCCCTTAATTTTGTATGCTGACACTTAAGCTGTCCAGAAGGCCCTGAGGTATGTCTATGTGACTCTCTCTCTGACAGTGCATCCAGAACTTCACTGTAAGTGTGTATTCGCAGGGCTCAAAGGGTATCTAAGGGATAATCCATTGCTTTGGGGAAGCTCCAGTGTGTGGATGCAGCTGCTCGTGATGAGCATTTGGAATCCTTTAGTGGTATGGGTAGGTCTTGGGGTGGAGGAAGCAAAAGAAGAGAGGTGAGAGTTGTGGATCAGAGTTCCCTGAGTAACCAGAGTCCACAGCAGACTCAGCAGGTGATGAAGAGTTCTAAATTCCAACCCAGGCTTTCAGATCATTGAGTTCTATTGTCAACCGCCTACAAGAATCTGCTTCAACAGTTACTAGCTTCATCCATGACTTTTGACTATTTAAATATACAGTGTGGGTTATTGTTGGGAATATGTATATGCATGTATGTACGTGTGTGTGTGCACGTGTGTGTGTGCACGTGTGTGTGTGTGTGTGTGTGTGTGTGTGTGTGTATGTGTATGTGTGTCCATGCATGAATGTTGTCAATCTTTCTAGACTGCAAGCAGAACCCAGGTCTCCCTTTGGATCACTTCTTATTTTATTTGCCAGCCCAGTGCCCCCAGGATAGACCCTCTTAAGTATTTATGGGAAAAATGAGTAGTTTCCAAAGTAAGCCTTGCCTGATCCTTCTACTCTATGGCTTTGCTACCACATATCATTTGTTCTGTGGCATAGGGTGGGTTTTGAGAGGATCACATAAAATTCTGAGTATAAATGCTTTTTTAAAGACAGCCTTATCAGAATGTCATCTTGTCTCTAGCTTCTATGTCAAAACACTAGCTATTTGTACATTCTATCTATCATCCAATCATCCCTGTCCATCTATCTACTTCTCTATCCATCCATCATCTATCTGTCTGTGTGTCTGTCATCTATTGGTCTAATCTGGGAACCAGGTGTAACATTATTTGTCTAATGTTTTAGTTCAAGTTCATATATTAAAAAAAAGAAAAAGCAAACCACATTACTGCTTCTTATGCCCCCCTGACTCGTACACCTGGGGTTATATATGTTACACTTGGAGAATCCTGCCATATGGGACTATATAGATACAGTTTGTAAGTTTGCTTCTGTGTGTATTTACCTAAATTGTTTCCACCATTAGAATGATGCTGAGAAAGCCCTTCCCTTACTACAAAATTACAGAAGTGATGGTGTTCTTTTCTGTTAGTTCTTTTTACAACTGAATTATTTTAAATAGAACTTTGTAAGTCACTTGGAATTGATTTGAGTATATTCTTCGAGGGCTGAGGATATAGCACAATAGTAGAGTGCTTACCTAACATCTGAGGACTTAAATCAATTCCCACCACTGAAACACACACACTAAAAACAACCCATAACTACTGTGTCTTAAAAGCCGGTATCTCTCTTTGTTCTATAGTAAATTCATCTCAGTTCAGATTTGTTTCCAAAGCTTCACAGCTGCTTTAAAAGCAAACCTTCTTTTGATGTCAGAATGTACTGTTTTCGTGTTTTTGCAGCTATATAACATAGTTAAATATATCTTCTTTTGTAGAGTTCTTATTAGTGATACATGTCACCTCTCAACAAGTGTCATTTCTGCTGCCAACCAAGCCAAATGCATTAAAGCCCTGCTTTACCAGTGAGAAAACTGAATGCAGAAAGAGAAGCTACAGG